CATCTTGAAAAAGCACATCAGAGCTGCATTATATATCGTGTCGTTATCTTGATGAAAATAAAAGTGACAAACAGCTTTGATAAGTAGCAGCCGAAAGGCAACTTTAATGTGCGTTAAACAAATTTCATTGCCTGCTTCTAACCCTCAGGAGTCAGAACTCAGTACACTTTGTCATCACTTGATCATGCAAGTCGAATGTGGTTAAACAAAATATGCGGTAGAACCGTCTTCACTTTGTTTGGTAAAACAGCTCCACCCTGGTGTCACATCAGTCACTGAAATTTTCCGCCGTCACCGACATGTGTCCCTGAGAGAACCGTTTTCCTGGTTACCCCCCCCCCCTCCCCCTGTGACGCCGGCCCGTCTCCCGGACACCGTGAGAAGCCCTGGCGATCGGGCGCGGTCGGCGGCCGGCCCCACCAATCGCCGCCGCTGTCCGACCATCACAGAACAAATAACACTCACCGCAACAGGCCCTAATCGCCGGACAGATCAATAAAAACGTCTAATTGTCGTAATTAAACGGTGGCCCGGATGTGGCGCCGCCCGGGGACCCATTGATACCAGTGGGGACAAATCGGCGCGGTCACCGGGGGACATGAGAGCGCGCCGCGCTGTGTGCCGGCCTGTGGAGCGGCCGGTCACCTAATTCAGCCATCAGCCTCTCTATAGAGCTAATGAGTTAACGGCCAGACGCTGATGTCCAGTCCAAAGACGGTAATCGAAAATCAAACAGGTTTAGAGTCTACTTTTATGAGGGTGGTATAAAATCGATCGAGTAGCAAGGTCAGTGGGACTTTTGAGAAGGTTCTGCGACAAAAGAGAGGGAATCAGTCGATGAAATTTACCCGATTGTTTTCGGTTTGTCTTCAGTAGTTGTGTCTTATATCGTAGGTAATTAAATGTTTTCAATATGATTTTTGAAGCATGTGTCGAATTTGTATCGTGATCCATGCCTCCAAGCAAAACCAGATTTCACGTTATCTGCCGTAGTCACACAAAACATATTTAACATTAGCGCACCTAGGTTTTTTACCCAATCTCGAATCGGGGCACGAGCTAGGTACGGCTCTCGCGATATTAAGCGGCAGGTTTTGCACTTTTACATTTCCGGTTATATCTCAGAAACTAATCGATCTACGATGAAACCATTTTTCACGATCATAGTCGGCTGGTGAACCAACAAGTCGATCGCATCTTAAACACCTAAAAGCTTAAGACGACGAAGATATAGCCTGAAGTACACTAAATTTTATAGGTGCAAAACCTACCGCTAAAACCCGCGAGACCTGTACATACTGCGCCAGCCTCCTAACGCAGGCTTTGGTAATCATTGATGATGCAGATTTATGCAGTCATCCAGTCAATATTTCTGACCTGATAAAACTGTCAAACCTCCATGATATTTTTTCTAGCCATGCCTTGGTTGAAAGAGCGTCTGGTTAGGTGACGATAGTTTTCTGTCATGGATTTTAGAACAGTTTACCTATATACGGTAACCTTTGCAGATTTTGATATTTGTATCATTGATACAATACCCACCACTTAGTTCTGTAACTGGAACAAAATCTTCTGTGCCGCAGCAGAAGATCTGCAATTTGTCGAACCAGTTATATGTGTTTTCGGTACCAGAAAGCCACTTTATCCACATGTGTTGGCAGTCAGTTTCGGCGCTGTTGAACTGTTTCCGTCTTGCGGCGATAGCTCCTAGCACAATCTGAAATGGGCCAGCCAGTTGAACGTGTTAAAAGGAAAAATGGAGACTAATGTCTTCGTTTCAATTTATGCGACGCCTTCAAATCTTGAGGTTGAACGGCGTAAGGCTCGCTGACACCACTATTTACTCACCATTTCAGATTTTTAATGGCAAACAGAGCTGGTCAGAGTGGTTAGTAGCTGAATAATTTGTTTAATTACCCAAGGCCTTTACCACAGTTTCATTATATGTTTTGGTCGAGTTCGTTTTGTGTAGCGTCCCACTGAGTTTTTGGAGGCCATTGAGTGACTGAAGGGTGCTATGAATGTCCCATTCAACACCTGAGCCGAACTGGCAACCACAGTCTGAACGACGTTTTCAAACAATTATTCGGGGCTGAAGACGGCGTTCTGCTTGAGCTGAGTGGTTTCCAAGAGCGCAGGAGTGCTTAGGCTTGGACAGTTTGTTTTGTTCATATCGCAAGGTGGTGTTTCATACCAGGGGCTGAGCTTTTCCAGGAAAGTTGGCGGGGAAAAAAGTCGTGAAACCTACAATGTCCGTTTGTTGAGTTGAATAAAATACTACACTGAATCAATGCCTATCCTAAAAGAAGTAAAATTTTCCATTAAACAGACATTTTTAAGCTCCTCGATGCGAAGAAGATTGATTTTCATAGCAACAAAGTCCTAAAAAGTAGCTAAATTGGTGGGGCAAAATGACAAGTTGGTGGTCCAGCCGCCCGCCGCTGTTTCATACATTCTCAGCTCTCCTGTCTCATCTATCCAGCTGTAGTGTCCTGTCTAAGCTCTCCCTACTCGGTTCTCCCGGCTAATGTTCTCATGTAGAGGTGGAAATTCTCCTATCGCAGTTCTCCCGTCTTCTGACTCTGTTCTCCCGTCTTTTGTCCTAGGTCTCCAGTGTCCTGTTCCAGCGTCTCTTATTTATCATCTCTCCTGTCTCAGTGCTCCCGTCTCCTGTCTCTCTTCTCCTGTTTCAGCTATCCTTTCTATTGTCTCCTGTTTCGTCTCCTTTCTCAGCTGTCCTGTCTCCTGTCTTACCTCCCCAGTCTACTGTTTCAGCTCTTCTTCCTCCGCAGTTCCCACGTCTACTGTTCAGTGCTCGCGTACCTTGCCTCAGTTTTCATGTCCCAATTCCCTCGTCCAAGTCTCAGTCTCCCGTCCCCTGTCTCAGGTTTCCAGTCTCATTTCTCCTAGTTTCTGCCTCAGCTATCTTGTCTCAATTCTCCTATCTTCTGTCTCATGACTCCTGTCTTATATCTCAGTTTTCAGCCCCTGTTCCACTGCCCCACCCGCCCTGTCACCCCGTCCGCTCCGTGACCTTTTACGGTTAGGTCATACCGTCATGACCTTGACTTGAAATCAAATTTTGAAATTAACCCGCGCCGGGCCGATGCTCCGCGACTTCCGCGCCGGCCCGGGGGGGGGGGGTCTGAACACCCCCCCCCCGTAGCGACATGCGGTAAGCGGCATTCGAAAGAGCGTCAAATATAATGACGGAAAGACTTCGGTGGTCATTTTTTGGGTCGGGTCAAAGGTCAGGTCGCCAGAGGTCATCAAAGGTCAAATATAGGCCATTTCAACAACTTTGGAAACTGCCAACGGATAACTCGGGAACCAATAGAGCTACAGCGTCGCAGAAAAGCACATTCGATAGCCCTTTTACAGACCTTTCTGAATATTGTTCTCAGATTTGACCTTAGGTCAACGGCTTAGCCTCCAGAGAGCAAAAACTGTAAAAATAGCCGTTTTCACCAAAAAACAGTTTTCCGGTAATAACTTTTGATCCAAGCAAGCCACGACATAACGTTTGCCAGCATCGTGTTCCTCTCGTCGAGACGCGCCGAATGAACTATCCGATGACCTTGAAAGGTCATTTTGAAATTTGACCTCAGGTCAAGGTCATGACCTGACCGGAAAGGGTCATGTTGCATATCGGTCGATCCATATCGTCAAGCTGAATACATTTGACGTGTTTTCATCGCTCTAGCACGTCTCTATCAAAAGTTATAGCCAAAAAAACTGCTGGTGACCGTTTATGACCTGAGATGACCTCAGGGGCACACTGAGGGGTCACAGGTGCATTTTTCCGATTCAGTGTGTCATGTTTACCCATGAACCGATGTTTGAGAGGGTTTTGAATACCATTCGTCCACAAGAGGCGCATTTCAATTTTCTCCCATTGACTTATAATGGAGAGGTCGCAAAATTGACCTGACCTTAGGTCACCGAAATCAAAATGTAAATCTCGGAATTAAAATTCCGAGATTTACATTTTGTACATACCTACTGTTACTCTTATCAATCGCTGAAAGTTTCAAGGCGATTGTTTAGCCGCTGTAGCTCTGACGAGAATTGAAACTTTTTCTGAGGTGAGGTCACTTGACGTGACCTGGTGACCTGACCTTGAAAGCCCTGGGTCTGAAATTTTCACAACATGTGCGGAAAAGATGCATGAACAGGTGTGCCGAAAACGGCGACTCAGCTTCTTTCCCCAGTTATCCAGTCTACCTTCTCAGCTCTCCTGTTGCAGTTCTCCTGCCTCCTGATTCAGCTCTCCTGCCTATTGACTCAGCCCTCCCCTCTTCTGCCTCGGTTCTCCCGTCTCTTGTCTCCTATCTCATTCTCAGATCTCCGGTCTCATCTATCCTACCTCCGTTTCACGCATCAGCTCTCTCGTCTACTGTCCTAGCTCTTCTGTCTCAGTTCTCCTTCCTGTCTCCTGTCTTATCTCTTTATCTCTTTTATCTCTCGTCTCTCCTGTCTCAATTCTCCTGTCTACCGTCTTAGTTCTCCTGTCTCCCGTCTCCGTTTTCCCGTCTCCTGTCACAGCACTTCGGAATCATCTATTCTATATCAGTCTCATGTTTCAGTTCTCTCGTCTACTGTACCAGCTCCTTTGCCTCAGTTCTCGTGTCTCCTGTCTCATCTCTTATCTCAGCTACTCATCTCTCCACTAACCCGGTTTACATAGCATATTTGACGAGGCTCTAGCTCGTTAATTTGGCGATAATTTCGTTGCAGTGGTCTTCAAATATTTAGAGGGGATCATTTTGTAAATTGTTAAGCACCATTGGCATCTTTTGCAACATCACGGACGGAGATATAAGCTTGCAACAAACCCTATGTAAACCGGGTTTTTATCTCTTATCCCTCCTGTCTCCTGTCTCAGCTTCCCTGCCTCAGCTCTCCTAGCTCCTGTCTCAGCTGCCATATATCATCTCCCCTGCCTCAGGTCCCAGTCCCCGTCCCCCTGTCCCGCCCCGTCCGTCCTGGTCACACAGAGCTCCGCTCGCAGGCCGTTTATTTTGTCGTCTCTCCCTAGTTTCAGTCGAGCACACGGAACACATGACGGCCCCTCCTCTCGGCCGTGGCCGCGCGCCTACAACACCACCTGCACGCGCCTCACCCGCACTCGCACGCGCGCGCACACACACATGCACACAGGAAAGCCCTACATATAGACGGCTGACGGATGGACGGGCCGGCCGCGCGCCGGCCGCCGGCCCGCCACCTCCGGTGTATTATATATCGTTTGCGACGAGCGTCGTCGATCTGTCGGTCGGTCGGTGGCCCAGTCAGGAGATCGCGAGCGCCAGAACGGCGCTTGGAACGGAACGAGAACGAAAACGGAACGGAACGCAATCAGGCGACTCGCGCCATATATGTAGGGTTTTATGCTGCCACACAACGCCTCGCTCAGCTACCGAAATACCTAATGTGATAAATAAGGGCCGAACGGAGCCGGTAGGCGCCGTCGGCGTCCCATCGTTGCGAGGGGGCGGCCGGCACGAGCGCCGCTCGGGTCCGAGCGGGCCGTGCGCGGCCGCCGGTTAGTCGGCTCGGCTCGGCGAGATAGACGGCTACACGAGTTAGTCACCGCGTACAATCAGGCACATCATCACCAGCATCCATCCCCGACCAAAGCAACCGCGAGTGAACCGGCCAGGACCACTCGATAGTCACCCGATAAAATGATACATGGCGGCGTCGGCGTCCGGCCGCGACCGCCGAGCGCCAGACGGCGGCGGCGTCTGGAGCGACGCCTCGACGACCCTATCACAAGCCAAACACTCGACTACGGCACGGAGCGCCGCCTCTAAGAGGCCGGCTCGACAGCCCGGATCACATCCACGGCTCCTGCTCGGCGCGACCGACCGCGACGCCCGCCGCAGGCGCCAGAGACACACCAATTTGATCTCTGGGTGGAGTCGAGGCCTGCACGGGCTTCATCTAAACACACACCCCCACCAGCGGCGCGGCGGCGCGCCACTTCATTGGCGCCCGCCCGCCGACGGTACAATGTGTCCGCACTAAAACGACGGAGACGAGGTGGCCGGCGACCCCTCTGCCACCTGGCGGACAGTCGCGGAAGTTGTGGTGCGCTGTCCGACCGCGGCGCTGCAGTGTCGCTCCGGCCAAAACGGACTATATGCGCGGACGTTACACTACAGTTTCTGAGCTTTTCTTGTTCATAGAGTTATCAGAGTTTATCCTCTCGATCTGAAAGAGAAACAAGGATTCAGTACAAGAACGGTGCACAGGGACGTAAAAGAAAAGCCTACTGAGTACCTAAGCAGGTAAATGGGTCAGAAACGCAGACGCCAGACAGTTAGGTACACAAACAACAAAACGCTAGGCAAATAGCATATAGTCATATGCTAGGTAGTTTTCAGCATACACTGAGAAACTATTCTGATACTTCTAAGAACATTTGTGCAGCAGCCAGGCAGTGAAACAAGCCCTTCTGCTTTAGGTTGGTCACGAATGAAAAATATTTGAAGTGTACGTCTAAAAAGTGCCGAAATTCCCTTATTGAAATTAAGCGCATCCATCAACAAACGTAAACTATGATCAGAATGATCGCTACATTAAAACTATGCTTATTTCCGCAACCAGAAGCCATGCGCATTGCTAGTACGGCAGTTTTAGTATCGGACCCCCCCCCCCCCCCAAAAAAAAACAAGATCCCGAATCGAAACATGCGTGCGCCTCTGCTTTTTCAAAGATGCATTTATGATCAAACTTGACAATTTCTATACACTAGAGACGAAAAGTGCATCAACGGGCAGCACAAAACTGGAAACGAAATGGACCGCCTCCGGAAGCACATCAGCCTATGCAATTTAATCTGATCGCCTGCATAAGCACGGGCGTCATTGAGCTTAGGGCAGTCATGGCAGACGTCAGAAACAGGCAGCTGATCTGAGACACTACTCACTCTTCGCAACAGAGCTCTTCTGTGCTGCAATCAAACCCGAGGGCTCAGTGCACCAGGCCGATTTGGGCCAACGTTTGATCAATAGATAACTGACGCAAACAATTTAACGTCCGGCACACACACTGCATGCTACTTTGGACGGTGTCCTAGTGGTTAATGATTAGACCAGCACCACAAGTGTCCAAACCAACACCATACGCACAAAGCATACGAGAGAACAAGGAAGAATGGACATGCCCGTTCACTGTTCGCCCCAGAGGCCGTGGTTAGTCGCCCACAAGCACTGACTGATAACCGAGAGGTGAGAGGTCAACCCCACCCTCACTCGACACTAACAAAGGCAGGCAATGGAGGGAGGGCCAGTGGGGAAATAACCGACCGAACACGGACTATCGTTAAATAATGTAGTCTGATGCGCTGGTGATCTGCAGCCAACGCCCGGTAATGACCTGAATTTGTTCAAGCACGTGAACTCCACCCTTTTGTGTTTTATTTATAAGAAACACCTCACTGATGTGAGTTTATCTCTCTGACAAGGACGGCTCCGTTACGTGTCAGCCTACTGGCCGGGCGAGCTCGCTGCAGATAACCAGCGCGTCGCGGTCAGCCCGAGCAGACTCTCCTCCGCCTCTCGAGGTTCCTTCTGACATCGCTCCGGCGCCGCACCTGAGACTCCTCTCTCCCTCTCTTTATCTGTTTCTCCCTCCTCTTTACCAGCTCTCTGTCCTTCTCTCTCCAACTGAGTCCCTTGGTCTGGGGCCGCAGATGGCATCGAACGTGTATCGAGAGTAGCTCCCTGTCTATGGCCTCTTAGGCACGCACCTATCGAAGCAACGCTCTCTAATGTATTCGTAAAGATGCTTTTTGCCTCCGTTTTGCGCTATAATTTTGTATGGGCCTTTCAACGTCGCTGGATGTCCGGTGCTGGCGGCACATTCGAATACAAATTTTTAGCTCATTGATAATGACACGTCAAAAACTAATAGCTCAGCGTCTTTTACAAGTATGTTTTAGTGATGGGCACAACAAAGGCTCCGGCCGAACAAATTTTATGATTTTGCCATCGATTTAAGTTACCTAAATATCAAAATGGCTCAGAATGAATATCAGATTATCAGAATATCAGTTAAGACGAAGTTGAAACTGAAGGAAGAAAAAATTGCAAGGGACGATTGGTCTAGCAGTTTTTTTAGGCCAATAAAATGTACGACATTTATGCTTCTAAACGCAGACATAGTTAAGCATTCATTTTATATGCCTGACAAGGATTCTAACCGAAGATAAAGGATAACTGTGCGTCAAATTATCCTAAACATACATTGTCGACTTAAGTATGCAACGTCCATTCATTGAACCAAGGATTTTCTTAGCCTTTTACGGGGTGATTTCAGCGTGGCAAATGCAGGCTAATCAACCATCATGCCGGGGGTGATTACAACACAGGACGTCAAGAAAAACAAACACGTGTTGCGTTCAGCCGGCACCATGAAAAGCTGCCATCACCAACAGTCAAAGCCAGGCACCCATCACATCCAGCGTATAAAAACAAACGCCATTTCCGCTCTATCTACACAACTCAGAAAATCCGTGAGAGAAAGGGCGCCAAATCTGCTGAGAGAATGGGCGCCAAAACTGCCCAGCTTTTGCGCAACTTTGACAAGCGTTCGTTCGTGGATGATAGTCCAAAATAGAGACTGATCAGCATTTCGCAACATGATCTGCAGAAAAGAACGAAAGAAATCACTTTTTTTCTACTTTTTGTAGCTACTAAATGACTGAATGCCTTTCATTAGCTGTTGAACGGGTACGTTTTTTACCAGAAATCTGGAATATGTACAAGTCTAGCCGTAAGTGACGAAAACCACAAGCGGCCTGTTCACCAGCACCCACGTTAGTACCCGAAAGCCGTTAGTCCGCGCATCTTGAGCGCGCGCATCCCGCAGGACAGCGCCTCCGCGCCGCCGACCCCAGACCAAGCGACACAGCCACTCGAGAGAGGAATTACAGAGAGAGCGCCAGAAGGGAGAGCGGGGCCACACCGGGGAGAGAGAGGGGGAGAGACCAGAACCAGAGCGAAGCAGCCAGCGGCGGTGCGGCGCCGGCGAGCGAGAGAGCGAGAGACAGCAGGGTGGAGAGAGTGTTCGGTCTGACCTTCTGGATGGTGGTTGCCTCCAACCTTGATGGTGATGCCGGCGTCCTCCTCCTCCTCGGCCTCCTCGGGCATAGTGGTGAGCCGCGTGGCGTTCGAGTCGTCCGCCGGCGCCTCCCGCTTGCTGCTCTTGTGACGCCGGTGACTGCGGACGAGCGGAGGGAGGAGTCAGTCACGTGAAGTCATCGGGTGGCGTGGACAGGGACAACCAACTGACGTTAGGTAGTCAGTAACGGTCGAAAAAGGCACAGTGCCAAAAGAGCATAGTGCTTGAATCAATACGTGAGGCGGGTTGTTGAAGTATCAAAGCTGAAAGCGCCTTTAATGATATTTTTATCCAATTACAATAGATTCTGCTGAACTAACTACAGCTTACACCCATGACGCACTACTACGCTAAAATACGACTCCCACACAGGTAATCTCGACCACCCCCAGTCCTAGCCGTCACCCACCCACCCTCGCCCGTCCTCACCAGTCCTCGACCCACCCCTTCGCCATCCCCCTCCTACCGCATCGCGTGCTCACCCGCGGTGTTTGCGGTCCTCTCGGCGGTCGTCGTCGTCCCGGCGGCCCTGCTGGTTCTCCTTGTTGATGCCCTTCCAGACGCCGGAGCGGTTCAGCTCCTCGGAGATGTTGCACGAGTCGAGCGGGATGCGCATCACGTTGCCGCTCGCCAGCGGGATCTCCAGATTGCCCGACTCGTTGATGGGCAGCTTGCCGACCTCCTGCTGTTGGAGGGAGGCGTCGGGAGGTCAGCAACGGGACGGCAGCGGCGGAACGGACAGGGGTGAGGGCGAGGGTTGAATTCGGGAGCGAGATAAGGCTGGTAATATCAACAGCTGATTTGAGAGGTTTTGATTACAATTGAGCTGAAGGAAAATTTATGTTAATTGATGAACTGAGGACAAATAACGTGAAATTGGAAGCTCGTGTACAGACGTTTCTCCAAATTACAGCAGTTTCTGTACGTCTATAATTATCCCCATTGTAATGAATATGGTGCTTTGTACACAGACAAGAGTCGTGAGCAAGAGACAAACGACCATTTTGGACGAGGGACAAACGAAGATTGCTGACCAGAGACGGAGGTCACTAGCAGACGTGGACTGTGAGAACGGTACGGGACCGATGTGCGGAGACGAAATACAGTATCGTTCAGGCAGTTCGGACAAAACAACGGAGAGACGGGCTGTGAACTTTGTACAGAACGCCGTCATATTCGAAGCTCAGCTAAGAGTTGGAACGTCGTGCCGCAGATAGTCGGCTTTCGTCATACATCCACGGAAATGCAAAGCAAATACGGACAACTTTAAAGGAGACCGCTTAAGCTTCGCATTCAGGGTATCAAAGTGGTGCAGAATGCGAAAAGGAAACTATCAAGTATGATTCATAGACATCTCCAAAGAAAAAAGTGATAGAGGCAAGTAGAAAATCGTTTCAAGACCGGGACATGCCGTCGAGTTTTATCATTAACTTCCGAAGGTGCTTAGAAAAACAACATGCATTAGATTTCCTGACGGAACCAGCCAGAGCGAACATGCAATGGACGACGTTTAGCGTCTTTCCGAAAGTACCTACTACCTACCAATCCACAAACGCAACAGCCTTTCTTATCAAGTCACCCTTCAAGCAAATCCACACGTCATGCGCCATGCCGAGTACCAAGCTACATGCGGACGTCAGTCACGAGGACGTCATAGTGGAGGACACCACACACACAAATCACACGTGGGCAGGCAGAGGAGGCGTCACGGACAGCGCTGTGTCGCGGACGGTCGACCTACCCCGACCCCGACACCAACCCCGACACCGACACCGACCGTCGCTCCCATCAGCGCCTTCTGCGGAGAGGAGGCGGCCGGGGTTAGTGGGCGAGCCCGACGGCCGCACGAGCACACAAAATATCGGCGACGGCACACACCCCGACATGGGCGCCGCGGTGGGGAAAATCAGCAGGGACTCGCCGAATAAAATCCATCTCAATAAGGCACGGAACGGGTTAACAGCGAAGTACACACAAAACAGTCTGCGTATCAGAGGTTGACTGACGCCTTGTTGAAAAGTTGAACATGATTATATCAGCATCACGAAGAAAATTGGTTAGTCATAGCCATGAGCCACCCGTAAGTTAGCTGGCGTCGACACAACCTAAAACAGCTGAGAAAACTGATACTGTAGAAAACGCAGGTGTCTTTTTAAAGCAGTCAACAACACTCGTCTAACCCTCGGCCCGTACTTTTCAGTATCACCACCGCGGCGCGGCCGTTAACCGGCCGGTCGGCAGCCCGCCGCCCCGTCCCCGGTCTCCGGCACCCGCCGTCGCTGTCCGCTGAGAGCCCCGGTGTCGCGAACCTGCCGCCATCCATCGTCCACCCGGTCCCCGAGAGGCGCGGTGACACTGCACTCAGCCGGGCCATCCATCCGGCCCGCCGGACCGCCGACTTAACTCGGCCCAACAACCCGGACGCCAAGTACCGGTAAGCTGGCACCAGACCCATTACAGACCCCCGCGGACAAATCGACGGCACCCGCACGCGCACCTAAACGACACCCACCGTCAGGGGCGCGCTCAGGAGGATCTCTGGGAGGGCAAACCAATGGGAAATTTGAAAATTAAGAAATAAGGTCTTGTCTAAGGAATATATGACCGTATCAAGTGAGGGGACGTGTTGTATGCGGATGATTCTATTACCGCGTTGCCCCCCCCCCCGTTTGCGATTCCTCGCTCTGCGCCTGATCACTACCACATCCTACAAGACGGCTGTCCAGATCCGGGCGTCGACGCTCGGCAAAAACCGGCGACAACTGGGTGCAGACAAACAATGGCGCCAGAGACGAACAATGGCGCGCCCTGCACGACGGAGACGCCGCGGCCGGGCGGGCGCAGCTCGGGGTAACAGCTCGCGCGACACCGGACGCCACTTAGCCACTTAGGCGGGCCACGCGGACCGTATGAAACGCGCGGCGCCCACCGTTTTGTTCGCGAACGGCGCGACACGGCCGATAAGACTGTCCACCGGGACCTACACAGTACACACGGCAGTGGCGGGCTGAGGCCGCGTCATAAAACTGGAGAGCTGTATCTACGGACTGTCGGGGGTGACTTTTATGGGTGTCATTGAAACGGTAAATCATTGCATTATGATCAGCCTCTGCGATTGTATTTTCAGTCAGCGAGTGTTAGCGCTTCATTGGACCTTGCAGTCGAGTCCGAACAAAAGGAAGCAGACTACGCTTCATATAAGCCACTGCACTGTAAGGGACACGCGAGGACAGACAACCGATTGACAAGTCTAACGTCCTTAAAAGACAACTGAATCAACCGTCACCTAGCCTATTCGACACCACTGAAGTGTCAATTACACAACACCATCACTTCCCGCCCACGGTACTTCGACCTCATGTCAACCCACTCAACCCTTCCCCTGCCTCCTCCCTATCCACTTCCGTCACTCATCACCCCCTCCACTGCCTCCTCCCTCTCTCCTACCCTCATTTCTCTCCCCTCCGTTCGTCCACGTACCTCCTCCTCCAGCATGTCGTGCTCCTCCTGCTTCTTCTTCCGGCTGAACTCTGGCAGCACGTCATCCAGCACGCGCAGCTCGCCCGGACTGAAGATCTTCTCCAGCAGTTTACGGATACCGATCATCACCACCAGCTGAGGGAAGCGACAAGACGGACGGACGAGGACGGTTAGTACCGCTCCGGGGAGGTAAGGGGCACAGCGGGACCACAGAGACAGTTCTCACGTAAGAAACGAAGGACTCCAAGTTGCATTTACCGTGCTAGCAGGAATATCTTCTAGTAATTCTGCATTTGAGCGGAATGATCGATTGAAGAGGTTCGTTCTCTATGCGAAGTTAACACTACTATGTAGAACATACGTGAAAAGATGTAGCAGTTTCCGAAAACCCACTAGAACACAAACGCAACACCACTGCTCACCATAAGTGGGAACAGAATGGAGGTTTCGAAGATGGACTTGATGACCCAGAGCACCACCAGACACATGAGCTGGATGAACGTGAAGAGGTGAACGCGCTTCAGCGGAACCTGAAACGGACACCAAACCCATCAGTCAGCACACTGGAAAGAACAAATGAAACAGGTGAACACTTAACACTGTACACCAGGCGGATAACGAACAGTCAAGGCATATAACTGCATCCCTCATGACATTAATGTTCATACTGTATCCAAAATAGACATTTACGATGTAAATTGAAAAACTCAGCTACTTTGGACAACCATCTAGTAGATCCACCGTCCGTCTCCTCCGACCCTCACCTGACGGAGGAAGGTATAGTCGGGCTGGTACTTGGCCGGCATGAACATGATCAAGATACGGTCGAAGAACTGGAGGCCCTTGAGCGCGCTGACACCCATGTAGAGGAACACGCCGAACAGCACCGGCATAGGGATCATCCGCAGCAGCGGCGTCATCAACACCGACAGGCCGATCGTGGCGAAGATGAGGATGTGCGTCACGCGGTTCTCCCTGCGGAAGACGAGGGAGACACGGGCGTCAGTCGGAGGAACGGGTGTCCGGGAATAGATGTGAGGGACACCAAGGGTAGAGACATGCGTGAGAGCACGGTGTGAGAATTCACAGTAACAGCCAAATCAACAATTAACGTGACAAAACTTAACAGAAAAGTTGGCTGTTAAGACTTATATCGGCAATAATCCCTTTCCAGCGCGCCCCGTCGCACTATCACCTGTCTCACCTGACCCCTTCACCCGTCTCACCTGACGCCGAGGAACGGGGGCTTCACTCTCCCTTTCCCAACCACCCACCGAGCTGGGGCTACTCTCCCTTTCCCAACCACCCACCCAACTGGGGCTTCTCTCTCCTTCACCCATCTCACCTGACGCCGAGGAACTGGGGCTTCTCGCCGGGCGCGGCCGTTTCCGACTCCACTTTGAGCGAGTTGACGTGGTTGATGGCCAGCACAGTGGCGGCCACGAACCAGGGCAGGCCCAGGATGGACAGGATGACCACCAGGATAGCCAGCACGAACAGATCCAGGTGGTAGCCGCCGCCCTTCTGTGGACGACAGAGCGGGTCCGGGGTCAGAGACGGCACAGGTAGGTCCCGGGCAGGAGACGATGGAGGGCGTGGGGTGCGGGGCTAAAGACGATGGACCGAGTTTGTCCGAGGTAACGTGAGTGAACGGTGGCTAAAGCATGTTACATAATGAGAATAACAATCAAAGGCTCTGCAAACGAGCTTGATGGAGATATGTAGACCCTGTGTGATTGTTCATGAGGTGAGTGAAATATTTTGATCGGATTTAAGCTCGAATCCCAGCTGTACACCAAAAACTTTCCAGTCATTCTGAACTCGCCAGTCAATGGTATTTCAAATTTGTCACACAACGCCACAGTACACAAACTACCACCTCAACCCCCTCTGGCTCCCTCCGCGCCGCTCCCGCTGCGCACCTTCAGCTTGTGCTCCTTCCTGTTGACGATGACGGCCGTAATCTGCTGGTCCATGAACACCAGGATGACGCCGAGCAGGGCCGGCAATGCGGCCGCCAGCGCCGTCCACCAGGCGTTACCGTTGAACAGCGGGATCACCCAGCCGCGGCCCGGGTACGTCGGCTGGAACTTGTCCGGCACGCTCAGCTTTGGCGTGTCGATGCCGGCCAGGTAGTCGACCGTTGTCATGCACACGATGGCAATGATGACGCTGAAATCGCTGATGAAGCCTCGCACCTGTGGGAGGGCGGCGAGACGGTTAGCGGGAGGACTCACATCAGACGAGATGTAATCCAACTGTCTTAATTGAGGGACGGTACCGGACCTTAAAACCTGTGACTGAGGCTGAGTGATCCACTTCCACAAACACATAACACAACATACAGAATATTCCCATAGTTCGAGCATTGTGAGACTGTGCGTACTGTTAACTCCAATTGCTTCAAACCAGTAAGAACCAGAACTCACCCTTCTCACCCACCCCTTCCCTCTCGCTTCCCCACGTCGACCTCTCACGACACATCACAACTCCTACTCAAGACTATTCACCTACGTGGCCCTACTTACTCCTACTCACGACTTGACGACTCACTACTTCCTCCTACGACACATCCGACTCACCTTGTTGGGGAAGAACGGCGACGACTTGAACTCCTTGAGGTTGATGGCGATCAGGAAGGTGAGCAGGAACAGCAGGATGGACATGAGGAACACGTCCGAGCAGCCGTGCAGCAGCGACTCCTCGGCCACGTGCAGCGGGTGCGCCGCGTCGTGCTCGTCCGGGCAGGCAGTGCCGTTCAGCGTGCCGTTGAATGTCTGTCGGGGGGGGGGGGGATGATGTCAGTTTGACAGAAGAACAGGAGGCGGGGGGGGGGGTAGCAATGGTACGACACAGGCAGCCGGTGATGCAGATTTTGGGTTGTATTTGATAAAAAATGACTGCATGGTGATGTGGTACGTCGCACTTTGGACGTCGCATGTAACGCCCAGCTACAACCCGAATAGATGGCGCTAAATACACAGCCTATCGCGTGGGAAACTTGACGCTTAGGACATGGAGTTAGAACAATGTCATACAACTGACTCTTCCCATAAAATAAACGACAATGTAAAAAAAGCACGACACAAGTACCTACTTCCTTCATAAAATGCGGCCCACGGTCATCGTAATCCAGTCACTTTTAAAAGCACATGACCGTGCATGTCCGTTCCCCCTCCCTTGCCCTTGCCCTTGCCCTGCCCCTCCCCCGAGTCCCCTGTATACTGACCAGGAGGCAGTCGGTGGCGTGTTCAACTCCATCCCAGGTGAAGTTGGCCGGCCACGTGAAGTTGTCGTACAGGGAGTCGTCGCCCGGAAGGCACGTGCAGTTGTCGGAGAGCATGAACAGGTGGGCGGCCGGCTCGTGGTGGTCGCCGATGTGGATCACCTTCTCGAACGCCTGAGGGCACGACACGACCGGTCAGCGGGCGGGTCAGATCGCGTGGAAAGGGAGGGGGGGGGGTTGCGTGCGGAAATCATCACACCATGCAACTACATCACTTTGGTATATAGGGCAGGGAATAGTATCATCGGAACTCTCATTACTTGAAAGTCGTGATTCGTGACAAATGGAAACAGAAGAAACCCAGAGCATCACTTACAGATTACCGTTGACATGATGCAAACAATTTAATTAGCTCACACCGTTAGGCTGTGAGCACAACAGCTAATCACGCAACACGAGACCGTGCTCTTTCTGCTCACCTTGATGATGAAAATGAAGGCGATCAAGGTGGCGAAGTTCTCTTCCGTAAAGCGGGTGATGTACTTGACGTAGGCACTGGCGTCCAGAGCCACCAGAATTAACAAGTAGAACGCGATCCAGAAGCCGACCCAGACTCGGAACGACAGGTAGTCTATGTCGTTGGTCGTGCAGAACTTGTAGATGATCTGTTCGAACACCAGCATGGGTCCGGTCGAGCCGAGGATGTTGAGCGGCTGGCCCGAGAAGAAGCCGTAGATGACGCCGCACACCAGACCGGAGACGAGCGACTCGATGGCCGCCAGCCGCGTGCCGGTGGCGTCACTGAGCAGACCGCCGAACGTGACGATCGGGGTCAGACAGGCAAAGTAGAGGAAGATGTACGAGGCCACCGACTGCACCGCTATGGCGTCCTTGAAGTCGGAGACGTACCACGGCTTCTTGCGCTTGATGTCGTTGATGAGACCGCCGAAGAGGCGGCCGGTGCGCACGAGACCCGACTGGACGCGGTACTTTTCTTCCTCGGCCTCGTCGTCAAACTCCTCGTCCTCCTTGTTCGGCCGCTTGCGGGGGTCCTGCGAGGGCACGGCGGCCGGCGGCTCGATGCGGATGGTGGGGTCCCACTCTCCGGGCGGCAGCACCGTCACCGCGTCCAGGAACTCGTCCACGGCGGCCAGCAGGTGGTTGCGGTTCTTGGCCTTGTAGGCCACGTCGTGGAACACCTCGTCGGAGAGCAGGGTGGCCATGGCGCGGCCCACCTCGTGGTAGCGCGAGATGCCGCCCTGTCGGAGAGAGAACGAGCCCGGTCAGAATCAGAGGAAATGACCGAGCTGTCTGAGCGAGAGTCTTCCGCCGCCAACAGCATAACTGGGGCATTTACCAGCTCCTGCAAAACAGCAAGCTATCATTAATGAGAGAGTTCCAATGTATCGGCAATGTTAACTGTCGTTTCACAGAGGTCTCACTGATCATGATCAGACCCTGTCTGAATTCCTCTATAGATACAACCACTAATCAGAGATAGCGATATCGAACGGAAGCACTTGAGCTGCGCTCCACTCCACCTCTGCTACTTCTCTCCCTACCTCTCTCCACCTCTCCCCTTCGCTTTCTACCTCCATTCCTCCCCACTCACCACGGGTCCGAGGAGCAGGAAGATGAACCGGGTGGGCACGGGCACCTCGGTCAGGTCCCCCATCAGTGAGGCCGTGCTCAGACGCAGGAACGCCGACACCGGCTTGTCCAGGAAGTCCACCTCACCGACCAGGATGTTTGACGCCTCGGCGCCCGGCGGGATCTTCCGCATGAACTGCAGGTTCCTCTGTGGATGGACGTACTTGTTAGACACACGCACACACGTATGCACACGAGAGTGCACACAGTTCCTCAAACCCACATATTTGATGATTGCATTAGAACCCTTTGTGCTTTCAGAGGGAAATAAACACTAAATGGGGTCACTAATGTCATCGATAAAACATCAGGACGACGACGCCCGGCGTGTCACATACAGTAAACACATCGTTATTCCCATTTTCTAAAGATTGGTAGGTTCAGCAATGCTAAGTAACAGCTCATCTCCCTTCACTACCCTCACGTTCCCGATGCTATCACTATGTCTTCCTCCATCCCTCACGCTCGACCCCCGTCCGTCTCCCCCCGTTACCTTGGCCAGGTCGGCGGTGGAGGTGCCGTTGGCGTGTCCGTTGGCATCCGGCAGCGACACGCCGCTCGGGCTGGTGTGCATGTCGCCCGTGTTGTCCGCCATCGCCGCGCCTGAGAAGGTATCCGCTCGTCGTAGCACTGCGCCCGCACAGCGGCGCAGACAGCAGGGAAGACAGCAGAGCAGACAGCGGAGCAGACAGCAGACAGCCAGCAGACAGCAGGCGCAGGCAGACACGCAGAAACGAAAACAAAAGAGAAAAGAGGCGGGCACGTTCCAAAGTCAGTGCGTGCCGATGCCAGACCCAATACCAGAGGAGCAAGACGAAACCAACGTAAACCGACAGGGAAAACGGCACTAGAGGGACTACATGACATGATAGTGTGCCATGCATGCACAAAACAAGGTGGCGCGCCCCCTCAGTGGCGTCTCTGGGCCTGGTCAGAACATGCCTGTGGTGCAAAAACAGGACAAATGCTGCAAAAGGACGTCACTACAAATTCGACGATCGACAAGAGAACCATGCAAGTACCTATGTGCATTTTACAATCAACAAAGAGAAAATGCAGTCACATTGGCTCGTGACTACACTAGCTCGGCAGGTAGCCAATCGCTCGGGGGGAATCGCAAGAGCTCTGAGGATAGTTCTGGAGTGGAAAATCGAGTAAAACCGATCAGCATTCGCTGTAAGTATTGCTAAATACGTAAAAATATTTCACAGGATTTCAGAGAGCGTGTCTTACAGTTTTCATCGATTTTCCACCCGTGAACTAGGTATCCTCTTCGCAGTGTTTCATAAACAAAGTCAGTGAGCAAAACACCCCACAGTCAGATCAATCTCAGACGACACAGTAGTTCGGGCATGCCGGAGGCATGAGTTATACAGCGAACGATCACAGGGGGCGCGCAGTGGCGGCGCGTGAGGGGTGAGAGGGGACCACGAGCCGGCGGTGCCGCGGGGCGTGCAGTGCGGCACCGGCCGGCGGCAGCAGCCTCAGAGTCCCGAGTGGGAGGCGCTGCACGACACTGACAGAGCGATCCTGGGTCAGCACCAGCCCGCTGAAATCTACCTCGAGAGGCGGCATGCCGGGGAGGATCGGATCCGCAGCCGGAGTGTCAGCGAGCAGTGCCGGAGAGCCGCCCGGCAGCCGGTGCGGCGGAAACCGTTTGAGGTCAGGACGGTGCCGCCGAGACCAGATACCATGTGCCCTCACTGCAGCCTTTGGCCGGTGCATGGATAGTGGGATGAGCCAAGGCTGTGCTAGCGAAGGGTAACCCGTGAAGGAGCGTCAACCCTCGTATGACGCCTCTGTACATTAAAAACTCCAGTGGCCCGACCCACTGTCAGCAGTGCGGTGCTCAAGTAGCCAGGCGTGCATGAAAATATGCCACGTTTCCCGAAAATCACAGCGAATGCCAATATTTTGTTCCGTATTCACAAATAGGCATCCGGCCAGGGAAGCAATGGCTTTTGAGCTTCAAAGCACTGCAGGTTGTCTATCATCGGAGGCGACATGCCAACCATCCAAATACCCGTCCTTTATATCTGCACACAGCAACATGTATAGTAAACGGACTAGAAGATGCCCTTCGGAGCAGATTGCAGTCGGTTAGAAAAAGACGGCTGAGATAAAAGCGCAGCTATGAGTAAGATGCGGCTTCATCTGGTAATAGGCATTTTTCTTATTTAGCACTTGAGGTTTACGGTGCGACAGAACGCAAAAGCTAATGCGATACTGAGCAGATTCGAATCTCAAAAGAAAGATCAGGCGTGCAAAATAAGCACATCAACTAATGCGCAAACCTGGAAAGAAGCAGACTTTGGGCCACATTTCCATGCGATTGGAATAAGTGTTGTTAGACTAGCTCCTACAAGACATCCAGCTATAGACAGAGCACTGCTTCCGTGCAGATCTCTGGTCCGGGACGGACTCCAGACGATCGCTGACTATAAACTGGAGTGAGTCGTCCGAAACAGAGGCGAGTGAAAGAAGCAGACGGTAACAGGCATGCTCGTCCCGGTAGTCCGGAACTTCGGCGTGCCGCAGCAGCGAAGAACGGAGGTGACCGTGGGAGAATGGAAGGGACTGAGGGGCCGGGGAAGGGTGAGAACGGGTCGGGGAGTCCGTGAAACGGTCCGAGGGTGTGCCGTCCAGGACAGAACGAGGAGGACGGATCGGAATGTCTTTGTGATCGTCCTGTAGATGTGTTGCTGTGATCGCCCTGATGGTTCGTATCGCACTGATGTCAGGCAATACAGCAAAACCACATTTACCGGTCGTATTTCGGGACATGTCTAAGTGACAGGCAACTGGTGGCCTTCGTTCGCCGAATTAATGTGAAAAAGTCCGCTGGAAGGATCACGCTGGTTCTGTGAAGCCCTCGGGACGATCCGCCGCCATTATACAAATTAAGCCTCTTCAAACGCTGCCACCAGGAAAAGATAAATGGAACCTAAGTGAAAACATTTCGGCAGGACAAGGCAAACGGTTCAGTGACACGAATAGGACGGCACTAGCCGACATGAAAAGGCAGCCTTCGGCAAGTCTTCAGCACCCAACGGCCGAGATGGGATGTCTGAGGCACGGTGGCACCAACTTCAATTTATCTAGGGCAGCGTGCAAACGGGATGCGTTGCACCAATATTAGAACTGTTTTCAGTGTCTCCCGATGCAGCGTTTGGTAGAAATAGCTCGCGCAAAACGCTGCCAATCGGGTTTAATTTCCAGGAATGGAGCGGTCGTATTTTTACTGTCTGCCACGCTCGGACCTCAAAGCTCGCGGCCGACGCGTGGCGATGGGCCGGCTGACATGGCTATTACAGGGGTTTCGTGACGGGGCCGAAATATAACGGTGAGTCGGCCGAGGCGCCGCCGCTGTCCGGGCGACCAGTGGGGAACGGTGCCGCCAGCCCGGTGACGCCCTGGGCCGAGCGGACCTCACAGACTTTTCCTGTCACGGGTAGGTACTGAAACGCCATCGGTGGAATTTCATTCCGCCCCTATATTTAACATATTTAGCCTGAACTTCTTCATCAATCATCATCAGCTTCGCGCAAGGCCACGGATAGAATTGAAGAGTGAAGCAAACGAATGAGACCAAAAGTCGCGGGATTTGAGCGTGTCCGAAGTTCCGCGGCTGAGACGAGATACTGTCAGCAGATCACAATCCCAGGACGATCAACAAGGGTGGAGGGCAGCAGGTCTGGTGCATGTATGTCTGAGTGACAGGATGTGGACGGACGGGCGGGGGTCAGAGACGGGGCCAGGGAGTGCGCTGGTTACCCGGCACGTTCAGGTGGGTGCCGAAATGTCTGCCGTGGTGCTCGGCCGCCTTGTGGCCGGACTGGTGGCCAGACTCGCCGCCTCCCTCCGGATCTACGACACACACGGCGGACAGCGGTCAGCCCGCGCCCGGCGGCGCCCCGCGCGCGCAGAGGCACACAGACAGACAGCAGCGCGCAGCCGGCGGCTAGCTACGAGCCGTCCGCGCGAGCCGCGGCACACCACCGATAGCCGACTCAGTCCACGTGACACACGGGACGGCGGCTGGGGAGAGGGAGAGGACGACTCAGGGAGAGAGGGGGGAGCTGCGGAGGAGCGGGACGCTTCCAGACAAAAGGCTGCATAAAACGAAAAAGAAGAAAAAGTCGGAAGTCAATAAAATAACACAATGGAAAACGGGATGCCAGAATTTGTGCTGACGCCCAAATTAAAAAGAAAAAGAATAAGAGAAAGGATTCCCGCGTGGGACGGCAGACGCACACTACCAATACGACAGAGGCTGCGAAGTCATCGGTGTGCTGTTGACACAGAGATCCACAAACGTAACGCACATTGGAATAAAATGGGGTGGCTAGTGATAGTTTATGTCGAAGAACAACACTCCCTCCGCATGGACAAGGGACACGTCCTGCCACCGATAAAATAATCTGCTGCACACTCCACATGAGAATGGCATGCAACATTAAACCCAATGTTTAAAAGGCATGTTATTAACTAAAATTAAACCCTACACACATTGACACCCTGATGATGATGGGTCGATAAGCACCAAATGTTACACAGTGAAGGGGAATGGAGAAGGATCACGAGCTCTATAGGTCAATACCATCGTCCATCAGTAATTGTTTCACAACGTCCAAAAAACACCAGGTATTTGGCACCGGTTATGGATCTGAGGAGTCACTGCTGCTTCCAGACTACGCCAAAACGAAGTATTAACTCATTGAGCAGCCCCATATGTGGCTGCTCTTTTTCAGAAATGGAATGGCCACCTCTCAAATCAAAGGGCACTTCAATTTGGACCAAAAGCATATCTTTTCACGCAATTAGCGCATTAGGCAGAGCGTCAAAATGTTCCAAATGTTTTCTGAACACAACATCAACAGTATTAACTGTAAGGTCTGGTCTCCATTCGTTCTATCTGCGAAAAGCAGGCCCTACAGAGCTCACTGCTCAGCGACTGCAGGAGTACCGATCGGGCACACTATAGTGCCACCTGCCGGATCGAGCTACGGCCACCTACAGGTGCAGCGGGTGCAGGCCGGGCCGCCCAGACAGGCGGCGCCGGCCGGGTACCTGGCACGCCGAGCAACAGCAGAGGCATGATGGCGCGCAGCTCTGGGCCATGCTCGCTGGCAATGTGGGAGTGCCACGAGGTCCGCCGCTCGCATCGCGGCGACACAGCCATGAAAGCTGGCGCGCACACACACCAGACCGGTCACAGCCCGCACACGGCTCTGTGCCCCCCCCCGCACTTCACACACTGGGGGCCAGTGCCGGTCAAAGGGCAAAAATGGCCGCGGGAAAAATATTTACAGGATTCGGGGTATGAACAGTCCGCGGGTCACAGGATCAGGGACGGCCAAGCTGAAAAACAAAACCCAAAACGGCAGGCATCAGCCAGCAAATGGGGCTCATGCTAGCTGGGGAAAGACCACCGAAGTTCCATTCATCACGGCTGAAGAAATTAAACAAATGAAAACCAATCCAACCACTGGCCTGTCGTGTGTGCGTGCAAGCGGCCCAACTTAAAAGAGCAGCCAAAGAACAAAACGTCCTTAAAAGCGACGGGATAGAGGCAAGAAGAACAAGCGCAAACGTTCATATGCTTCCACTAAATTAACGTGTTAGACAATTTGTAGTGACATTTCAGCAAAAGTTTAGGTGGCGAGCCAAAATTTTTGAACGGGAAGCTTCTATAAAGCTTCAGCCGTCTTCTAGCTAGAAGCCTGTCAACATTTACTTCTTTTTTGCCAAATTATGTCGATAATTTTGGCAAATTAAGTCAATTTTGCAGTGTCATCTGCAGGACACAATTTAAAAAGCAATTTTCCTCACGTTCTGCTTTTCCGTCCGTCTGTTGCCCATCGCACCAACGCTTGCACATACCGAATTACTCCGCACTTCCGACCAATGAGCCATACCATATCAGCTATTTTTCCCCGCAGCAGCGGCGGGCATGCCCGATCCCATCACTGGCTCGTAGCCAGATGCCCTCATCTCGCCACATATCGCCGTTCATATATCTCGAATAACGTCGGCACGGTTCCCGAAAAAGCCACTGACCAGACGCAATAAAGTGCCGCTACGCTATATGAAGATCACAGTGGGTCAGAGCCTCTCCCACACAGGAGAAGCTTCGACACAGGGGCCTGAAAATAAACCCTTAGGCCACTGATCGTCATAAAATAGTGATGAGAGTCATTTTGCACCCGGCATTCGACCTAAGGATCTTAGAACATCACATCAGGTCATTTCAGTGCCGAAACCACACAGCTCGGACAAGGCGATGAGGGGCAGAACGGGGCGGGGCAGGGAGGGACCATGTCCGTTTCAGGTAGAGTCAGGGCGGGTCACAGGTCACACATCGTAACGAGGTCACGTGTCATATCTGTCCGTACTTTTGGCGTTGGAGTAGGAGCGCCCGATGTCGGCTAGGGAGCGGATGAGCGGCAGGCGCGCCACGCTGCCGCCCACCGAGCTGCCGTCAGACGCCTTCTTCCGGTCGTGCAGATGCTTGTGACGACGCAACAGAGCCTCCCGAAACTGAAACACGGGTCACCATGGTAACTGGGGGCCGATCGAGGTCAGGGCCGCGGAACACGGAGCCGCCGATACGGGTCAATAGTGGGCGGGGGAGGGGGAGAGGTGGTTACCGGGGAAGCCGCGGCCCCTGGAGGACAGCGCGGGTCATTGAAGGTCACTGGATGACGGCAGAGGTCGGGGCGCACAGCTCAGCCCAGCCGACTTCCAGAGGGTCAGCTTAGACACTTGGTGATAGCCGGCTAAAATAGTTGGCAGACGTTTAACTGCGGATGGAAAACATTACGAAACGGGCGTCGCAGGCCAACGGCGCCGCGGCCGCTGCCAGGGCGAATGGCCACTATCACATGCCGGCATCAAATTAGAACGAATGCCGTGGCCCGGCATCAAGCCTTTCATCATCCTCGATATCATTAACGTGAATACAATGCTGCCATGCCTACTTCGACAACCCTTACGAGCTTGTTACCTTTGTACGAATTTGTTATTCTAACATCAAATTCAAACAATAAACAACAAGCTCCTGCCAGCACCCGCTTCACATCCCGCCTACCATCTGTACAACACTGCTCCTCCCCGTCCCCCTCCCCGACTATCGGGCACGTCCATCACCTGCTCCCGCTTGTCGTAGGTGATGGCGCCCGAGTTGATGAGGTTGTCCAGCAGCAGGTCCGCGATGTGCTCCAGCGACGTGGCCTCCATGTCCAGCATCACGGTGCCGTTCAGGATCAGCGACCGCAGCTCGAACAGCGAGTGCAGCGACAGCGTGCCCACGTGCGGCTTGGACCAGCGGTTGCCGCCCTCCTCGACATCCTCCTCGAACTTCACCCACCTGTGGGGACGGGGGAGGGGGAGTCAGAGTGGGCCCAAAACAGTAACCGGGCGAGGGTAGGGGTAGGGGGTGTCAGAGCTGACCAGAGCAGGTTCTTTCTACAGCATGCTGTTCGAAAGGGCTGGGAATAAGCCATTGGCGTAGGACAGATGCGGGTTGACGGATGGTACTTGAAACTCAATTCCGTGACCTCGTATTGTGCTTTCTGTTTTCGTTTCAAAAGCTCGTATCAAAGTTGTGGCAGGGACAACATAAGACGGAAAATCAAATGACAACCAAAACAGTGTAATTACCCATCAACATCACACCTTGACGTAGGAAGAGCAAATAAGGCCTGACCTCGGTGAATTTCTTTTCACGCAAATTACCGTGATTCGGAAATCGGCAGCGTAAACATTTCTAGGGAAGTTGCCAACGGCTTTTCCTTCTATTTGAATACCTTAAAACCGCACCGAGTGCACTAACCAGTGATGAATACACAATAGCGAGACGATAAGCAGCCAATCCTCTTTGTGAAACACACTGGGGCTCATTTTTTTTTCGGGGGTAGGAACCAAAAATGTCACGACGGTCGTGTATGCAGATTGCGAAACAATAGATGAATGCCAGAATACTCGTCCATCCACACGACAAGAAGCCAGGCAGTTTGCAGCAGTGGACTGTTTATAACGAACTTTCCCAACATCAGCCAAACGCCACATATGTGTGCGTACTGCGTAAGACACATATTACAGAAATGAAGCTGCAGCAACCGCTAACGCCGTCTCCGATAGTTTCCATGGGCTAGCTCTTCACAGAGGAATTTGACCCAGTAAGAATTTGACGGACAGACGGCGGCCGCGTGACGCGACTAAAAATCGGGTAACGGTCTCTCCATGAACGACCGGCGAAGGTGAGCGAAAAATCCCGCCGCCGGTCCGCCGAGGCGCTCTGACAATTTCCTCTGACGCGCACCGCCGGCCGGTGGCATGTTGATGAGTCAATACCCAAATAGAGCGCGCCGCGGCGGGCGGCCAGTGCCCATTTTGAGTGGCCGCCGCGCCCGCTCCCATTTCGGGACTGAACTATCCTCGTTTCTGGCCAAATTGCACGGCAGGTGCGCGTGATGGGTTCGGTGAAAGTCGGTCGGTGTCACCGACTCACCGCGCGCGCCGTGACCTTCCTTGTGCATCATCAAATTCTATGAACAGGTTCAACATACTTCCAGGAGCTCTGCATTGGATGTGGCTTTATGAGTAATTACTGCGTGACCTTGTTTCGACATAAAACACGGCAACATAACTGAATCACAGCATTACAGTCACACAGTTGTAAAGTTTACCTACATGAAAAGATCGCACCACCAACTGACCTGACCTCCACACTGACCTCTCAGTCCCCCACTGACCTAACCTGGCCTTTCCACTGGTCTGGCCGTCTCCCATTGACCTGTTGTCTCCACACTGACCTATATTGACCTACTCGTTAACCTCTCAGTCTCCCACTGACCTGACCTCCCCTCTGACTTGACCTCACCGCAGCCCCGACCGTCTCTCCCCCCCCCTCCTTCCCTCCCTCAATACTGACCTGTCTCCTTCCACTAAATACTGACCTGGCCGTCTCCCCACTGACCTGACCTCCCCTCCCACTGACCTATCCGTCTCCCCACTGACCTCACCGCCCCTCCCCCCCCCCACTGACCTGACCTCCCAATAGCCTGACCTGACCTCCCCACTGACCTGACCTGACCGTCTCCCCTACTGACCTGGCCGTCTCCTTCCACTCCATCTGCCCGCCGTCGGCCTCACACAGCGTCTCCATCTCGGAGAAGAGCGGGTGCGGCTCCAGACCGCTGCCCTCCGCATCCTCCTCGCCCAGGATGAACTGCACGCGCTGTGACGGCGGAGTGACTGCAGGTGTAGGTGGGGAGCGGGTCAGAGAGGGAGAGACACACACACGGCGCCCCCGAGAGGCTATCTAGCGCACACACGGCCGGCAGAGGCTGTCACACGCGCGGGGGGACACCGAAACTCCGGCTTACCGGGAGAAATGCTGAGAGTGCAGGGTACGGCTCAAACTGGAATGTATGTCATCAGGGAGCATATAATGCATAGTGACACATAGTATTTGTTGCAATCAATCGACATATACGAGTGCTCAAAATGTGTATCTGATCTGCACGAAGGTAATGACGCATTGTTTTCAGTGTCCAAACTCAACTAATGCAGGTGCTTCAAGACGTGACACACCTATTCTATACATAGAGTGCTTTGAAAAAGAACCACATGCTCATTGCACACATCACTGTTAATCTGGTACAAAAATGCTGACAGACAAAATTGGCGGGCTTCCGTAAATTAGCATTGCTGAACAATAAAGTCCACACAATTATTGACAAATGTGTTCATTGAATGCCACACGGCAAGCCGAGGACACTTAAATTGTAATTTACGGTTAATTGCGCTAAATAGCACAATCACCACTCGGTCACACCACTCGAACTACAAGCTTTGTCTCTTTTCACAGGGACTTCAGCGGCCCGTATGGGGGAAGTGAAGGTGGCTCCATGAAGCAGCTGAGAGCGATTGGTAACGTTCGACCGACGTTGGCTGGTAACGCTCGACCGAGGCCAGTGGTAACGCTCAACCGAAAACGGCCGATGATAATCGACCGAGCGCAAATGGTAACGTTCGACCAAGACAGCCAGTCTTGTTCAGCTGGTCTTGGTAATGTTTGAAACAGACCGTCTGACTGGTGATATTCGACCATGAATAACTGGTAATGATCGACCTGGACCAACTGGTAATACCCGTCCGATACCGACGACCATTACCGACCGGTAACTCTGGACTGGGACCGGCCGGGCGGCAGCCGCACGTGCGGCGCCCTGTCAGGTCACACAGTCCCCAGTCCGGTGACAGCCGACAGACCGACATGTCATGACACACGTGAGCACCACGTGGCATGGAGGAAAACTGGGACGGGTAGCGGGGCTGTCAGCCCGGCTCGTGCGATGTGGTCCGAGCCATAAATCCGTGGGAACTATCAAAATCGCTCCACTCTTTTATGTGGGATTTTTCAACTATCGTGAATAGGGGTAAAAACGTCACAAACTGTGGTTAAGCTGGCTGACGAACATCAGTGTTGCTGACCGTAGTTCGCCCGAGCCTAAACACTACCTTATGTAGATGCCTATTGTTATTATCTAAATAAACGTCGTGGAGATAACCTGTCACGCTACTTCCACGGCGCTTTGCACTACCTAACTATCCAAAATAACATGCCATGATTTTTTTTATTGATGAAATATACCTTTAAGGTAATTGCACGCCTAAAACCCCAACAGACCGATCGATCAACCGTAACGGTAAGCGCCTATATAGACTTACAAGCGGTATCGCCATAAGTAAATACATGGCAGCGACAGCCCAACCCGTGCTAAATGCGTGTATCACCAATTGATATCAAACACGCAAGACCGCTCGCGCGTCCCTACAGCTCAAACTGGGCCCAATTCTTCGAAGCCATTAATTCAATGCGGTACCGAATACCTAACTGTATGTCGGGCCCAGGAATGACAAATCGTGTTTTAGGGCGGGACCGAAAAGACCACGGTGGCCAGCGTGTTGCGTGGTTCTGTGCACGACAGCGGACTTTCACAGCGGTAGACTAGAAAGCAAGGACGGGTATCACACTATCATGATACGCCTTTCACTGTCTGCAAAACACTTTTCCAAAGTGAATAACGAACTGATCGTGCATCATTGCAATCGAAACCGCGATGCTTCCTGAGATTAGGTAGTTACCCGGATAATTTATCAAACAAAACCACACAAGATCGCGTCTTTGCTGAATCCAGCTAAATTTTCAAATGCCATCGCAAGCAGAAATCAAAAAGCTGAATGTGCATATTTTTTTTTAGCTCATAAGCTGGCTCGCGGGTACCATCATAATAAGTCTGTAATTTTGCTTATATTTACTTTACCAGCAGCTGCAACTTCAAGCGAAAATGCGATGCGAACTTTTTCATTACCGACGTTTATCAGCCTGTCCCTGAAACTAGACGGCAACTTCTCAAACTTCTTTTACGTAATTGCCGCAGGAGGGGAGTTCCACTAGCTAATTAGATGCGCCTCGTATGACGGTATGACTATTGAAACAAGACAAACTGGAAAGGGTCTTAAAACTAATCAGCATACCATAGCCCGTCCCAGTTCCTTAGGCTCGGTTAAAACCACTCAAAGCCAGCTCCACCGCGTCGTCTTTTCCTACTCCGATCGATACCCTGACTCAGCCATGGTGCTGATATGCCGAGGAACCCTCCCGGTGGACCCTCTGAGGCCCCTGCGGACCCCACTGCACCCCACCCCAGAGGGAAAACCGGCCACTGCGGGCAGGAACGGTTCGGCGCTCGGTCGAAAAATCGGCACGGAAGACCATCGCGGTTCGGCGAACGGACTAACCGCCAGCCAGACGAGGAAGAAGGGACAGGCTGAGCCGCACCTTAATTCAAGGATGACTCGCCACGTCCAGACATGCCATTAATAGACGATCGGACTTGAAGAAAAATCAACATAACAGGACTATTGATATCGTTTCGAGAATTCACCACTTGGCGCCGACTAAGAGAAATGTGTCATGTCACATCAGAACGCAATCTTAACTGGCACTCATCCCATGTCGAACGTATATCGACGAGCATTTATATGTCACAGCGATAGAGCTGGGTCGCCACGGGAATGCTAATAAACTCCGACTCAATATCGCATCACTGCGTAAGGCGCTCCTAGAACTTCCCTACTACGACCGCCAATAAGTCGAGCCGGTGACCACCGGACGCAGTCTGTTCGCCAGATGCACCCCGGTGGCCTTCTGATCGGCTGGCAGTCAGCCGGCGCGCTGTGACGATAGGTAGCCGCCACCCTGGCCAATACTCCCATCTGACGCAACTGACTCGTTCATTTCTCCGGTCCGGGCTACGGCCGGGCCTCCGGTCGCTGACCGCCGGCTGTAACTATTGATCCCGAACAAAACCTGCTGACGACTGCTCCGAGACGAGCCCTCCATCCTATTCCGCGCCGCGTTCAAGTGATGAACACTCCCGATCGTCCCATCGGTGTGTGCCGATCGTCTCGCACGTCGTCGTCGGCGGAGGGGGGTGGCCTCCCCCCCGGGAGCCGCAGGGGGCGGTGGAAATAGCCTCGGGCGCCGGGCCCGGATGACGTCACGGCATTCTCGCTCGCTCGGTCGGTCTGCGGGCCGCCCACGCCGCTCGGGGGCAAATCAGATCGCCCTCCCCCTTCTCCTGAGCGGGTGGACACCTCCGACCGACGATGGCCGGCCCTGAGCTGATAGCTCGGCCGATTGGGAGCTGAGCCCGGTCATCCCAGCGCCGATCGCCGCGCGCCGTTTTGGCTCAGAGGTCAATAGCGCCCCTGTGCTGAGCTTAATCAACGAGCCGTTTTCCCATACAGTCGTCTATTCGACCCTCCGTTTTATGACGACCAAGGGCCCACGAAAGGGAGAGGGGCGCAGAATCGCGTCCCAGCGTCGAGCCAAAGCCCTTCTGTCTGCGATACTATGGGGAATCGCGCGTTTCCGGCGTGCTGCTCAGGCGGAAGTCGAGTGTCGATTTCCGCCGGAAGCCAACCAGCGGAAGTTACTTTTCCGAGATGACGTCCACCGGCCCTATCGGCGATCCATGATGATGACGTTATTCATCAGCTCTCCGATATGCAGGAAAGGACGCCAGAGTCTGCTCTATTACCATATTCCTCAGAGCATCACTTTGCAACAGGCTGTCCCGCTCGATCTCTCGAACATTGGCCAATCAGGCCGGGGAAAGTCGCCCGCACGCCGTAGCCGTCAGATTGGACGAGACCTCACCGCAACTGTCTCGGAAAGCCCGCACCGTGGCAAGTTTCCTCAAACTTTACCTCCTGCTTTATTCCCCGGTTGCGACGCTTCACAATGCCTTCACTTGCGCATCGCGTATCGCGACAAAGATCGACACGACGTCGCGTGGCGGCGCCACTCCCCCGATTATCCACCGTGCATGCAGGTAGGCATTATCCGTGGCGATGAATACCCAGTGCCCGGCGTCCATTGTGTTAGCACTTCATTCAGTTATCAAACATCGCTTTACGACCGGTTACCGCCAGGTGGTTTACCGTCGCTTCGCTGTTCCTCCCGGCGAGTCCGATTTTATCGACCCTGCCCGGCGAGGCGACGGAGTGAATGAGTATAGGCCCTCCTCGGTCCAGCTGGCAGTCCCGTGTGTCGAGAACGATCCTGATCCTGACGTGATGACGAGGGCAGGACGCGGTGCGCTATGATCGACCAGGCTCGGCTCTCGTCCCGGACACGGTTTTTTGGTGCGGTGATTGGATCGCATCCGTGTCAATGCCACGCGATACGGTCAGGATCGACGGCTGGTCGGAGAGCCTTCAATAAACGCGCAACAGTTATAGCAGACTGAGAAACGGGCGACAATGCTCGGCACTAGAATCTCGTTTGAAAGAAGAGAGCAGCGCAGGACGAATTTAGACAAAATCAGTTCATCAGCAGGACGATCAATAGAGAATCAAAGCCCGGTCACCCACGCCGATTGCTGACTTTGCGCACTGCCACACCACTGAGCGTCGCAGCCGCTCAACTTCGATGAATTATAGACATGACACGCGAGCGGCGCAAAACCTACCGCAATAGGCCAACGCGAAATCCTGGAATTTATGTGTCCGCCTTGCTATGTCAGTGAGTCTCTGTTGCTTATCTGGGTCGCTTCAGTGCCCGTTCCTCTGCGCTATTTCAGCTCATGTCCTGAAACGGCTCCTGACGAACGAAGGTCGCGCACGTCTTTTACTTCCAGCTGGTCGGTCCGACCCATCTCCAGCCTCGCCGGATGCGGGCGCCGTCCGCGGCCGGCCGAGTGACGTCACCGGGCGGGGGCGGGGCCAGCGGCCGGCTCGATACGCCGCGGGGCAGGTCGCCAGTCAAGGTCGGCCGCCGCTCAAGGTCGCCAGAGGCCGGCCGACGGACGCCCAGAGGACGCACCGGTGGAAAAGGTCGCCCGTCACGCGCTGAAACCAGCGCGGCGCACAGCGCGGAGACAGCCGTCCAGTGGCGTTTTCTTTGACAGGATACGGTAGATGGATTTCTGTCCTGTCGCATTGAGGCGCGGCTGGTCCAAAAATACCTCGCTCGCTGGTGGCTTCCAATCATTCCGACAATCTCATGTAATCACAACTGCCTCCCGCCGTAAATTGAATTATCGGATAAACCAGTGCCACAGCCTGGTAACTACAAAAACCCAATCTCTGTCGCCAACGCCATAATGGTTCACCGCGTATCTAACCGGCCTCGGGGCTTTGACAGGGGTGAAATGGCACCGGGCGGATGTGGACGGGATTCTCTCTGATCCGGCCCTCTTACTGGGGCAGAGCGGCGGCTTTACGGCTGCGTCAGAGCCATCGACGGCGCTCGGGGGGCTGGCCCCGGACGTCGGCTTCTTCGGCGCACCGGGAGGTGGCCCTCCCGCCGAGTCCCCCTCCCCTCCTCTGATCCCCACTGACGCCGGATTGCAGCGTTTATTGCTGGCTGATTGTGCGCCGCGCTGGTGGACGCTACCGATAGCGGCCAGTGTTTTATGGTCGGTAGGTACTGTCGGCCCGACACGCGCACAGAGCCGCCGAGATTTCAGCGGAGCGGGGGGGGGGGGAGGCGTCTCAAGTGGAGCAGTAGCGAGTAGGCGTGAGGGGAAGAAACGGTGTTTCAGTGGCACAAGTGGAGGCCGGAGACTTTGTCGGTTCAGTCCGATACTGTTCTGAGAATAAATGCACGCCATTCACGGCATTGTAAAACAAAGCTGGCAATTAAACTGCTTTACAGTCTAGCAGCCATTAGCTTTAGTGAGCGGCCTAAGCCCTCTTACTGACATTGTATGCTCAGAGCTCGGCTTAGAGGGCGACTTTCCTAAGTGTGCACAGCAGCTTTGATTATATAACTTGCCCGGTCGGCAACTGGGGAGGCTTGTTCAGAATTTCATGCGCGGGGAATACTGAGTGGCCGTCGAACTACGCCGCGCGGCCGACCTTGACCCCAACGCCCCCGGGCTACAATCGAGCGGTCCGCGGGCGACCAATCAGATCCAGACAGTCGGACGAAGCTCTGCCGACTTTCAGAAGGTGCAGCAGTGCCGACGGCGCCGCTGGCCCGCAGCGGGAGGGAGCAGGTGGACCGATACTCAGTCTATAAACGCTCTGCAGAAATCCCACAGACAATCCTCTAGCGCTATGTCAGTGATGTCACTATTGTAAATTATTGGCGACTTCCTCCGGGCGTCTGCAGCGCTGACAGGTGGGCTCAGCATCACATCCAGGCGGTGTGACAATCACTCTCTGCCCTCGGGGACGCCGGAGACAGACCTCCTGCCGGGCTCATCGCGGGGACAAAAACGCCAACCAAAGCCGAGCGGAGGGCCTAGACAAAAACTCAGCGGCCGAGCGGAGCGTTAGACGGCGGCTGAGCGACTACCGGGCGGCGGGAGGAGCGCGCACACAGGGGCGGGCGGCGGCGCGGCCGGTCCCGGCGGGCGGCGCCGCACACGCCGGCGGTTAGCCACAGGAGCCAAAGCGGAGCCGCAGGCCGGTTAGCGGACACACGGCCGTACGTGAGAGCTCGCCGTCGGCGCCGATGCTGCTGGCGCGGCGTCCGTGGCGCGGCCGCGGCGGATCGAGGGTGTCGGTGGCGGCAATCAGGCTGGCGCGCCGGCCGTGCTCGTACACGGGGTCGCCTGCAACAGCGGCACACGCGCTGCCAGGGCGGCCCGGCGGCGGCCAGCGGCCCTCGACTGTCCACGTATACCACTGCTGCGCCGAGGGCGCTCACCGCACACCACACAGCCGGCACGGAGTCTTACAGGGACAGGGTACCGAGAGCTCCGACTGGATATAGCGGTGGATCTGCACTAATGCGATTTACGGAAAGGAGCGAATCGAAATCAGTTCAGCAGTTATCGTTGAGATACTGCCTCAGCCCTCAAATTTACCTCTTACCTGATTTATCAAAAACATTACAAACCAGACTGACGTTAACTTTGGCGCTCCGCTATATATTTTTGGAATATTGCATGCATGCATTTTTTTGGAAAGTGCAGACGAATGAAATACATGACAGACAATTAAAAATAATGCCACAAAAGTAAGTTCAAGAGAAGAGAAACAACACGCAATAGAAACGAAAGCAAAACGCACGACTGAAAGGTAGTGCAGACACGTCTGTACAATCTATATGCAGACGTTTGGCTGTGCTGATTGCACGCAATCCGTTTCAACCTAACTCAGGCGAGTCGGACAAAGCCTCAAAGGAAGCAGGCGTTATTGATTGTCATTTTGCATGCCCAGGCTGAAGAGAAAGTGATTGCATGAAGGCAGACATGCACCAGTTTTCCATCAGGAAGCGTCCAGTTTAGCCACAGGAATGTCACTGGAGTGATTTTTGCACTAAATGGAGCGCTTCAGCTTACAAAGAGGCAGTGACCGCAAATGGAACATCACAGTCACGTGAAGGCCATCACCGCCATTTTCGCTTCCTTCTCAATAACGAATCACATTTAATGTGAACTGAACTAAATATTGGTTTTTTGCATTTTTTAGATAGTTTCGTGGTAAAACAATTATGAGCACCACGGAGGGCTGCATTGTAAATCCAGGCCAACTTCGTGATGCCCTCAGACCAGGTTATTCTTCGATAAACCTCTGTGACAAATGAGCTGAAGATCCTTCAGACACTGATGTGACTGGCCTATGTTTTTCCTCGCTACATTACGTGACCGCCTGTGATTGCCAAACGCCCATTGAATGGCTACGGTTGTTATTGGCGTTGGGTCCCAATCAGGGCACCGATATATACTGGAGCCAACCGAGCCAAAAGCGTGACTGCGCAGTGCGCACACAAACATACACACAATCACCGACTACTCTCTGAGTTATTGATCGGAGGAACAGACCGAAGTGCGTCCCAGAAAGTAGCTAATTTGCACTAAGCAACGCTCGCCGGATAAAGTCGCAAATGTGCACCTCCCTATGTAACCTGCTTGTCAGTGTATCAACTGCTCTTCAAAGCAATCGCAATATAAACTCCGGCCAAAATCAACACAATTTAATTATCCCGTTCCATCGCAAATATTGTCCTTCGAAATCCCAACTCCGAAATAGGACGGGTCAAGAGTTCTGAATTTTGATACTGGTATAAACGTAACAAAGACTGCCTTAAAATGAAGTCATGCAAAAGTCAAAACAACACCGATATCTGACGGAAACGTGTCAAAGAAAGGTGAACTGATCTACGGTGCAATCATACAGGCGACCACAAAACACACATACCTTTAAGATCATCGTCCCTTTCTGTATAGACAAACAAAAAGGCGAAATTTTGATGAATAAGTAACCGATGGTGAGCAAAACGAACGCTTATGGTTTAGAAACATAGTGAGCAGTGCGGTCTGTACTTTTGTCTATTTAACGACTACTAATAAAGCATTTGAAGTGCATTAAACGCTTCCACATTATCCTTAAAGCATACCTATAAGCACGAAAGATACCTGCTTTGTAACCCTATAACATAAAGGAACATGCCTATTTCGGTTGTATGTGCAACGGCCATTACTACAATTTAGGTACCATTAATATTCAAAGAAAAAGATCCAGCAGCAAATCGTCAGCAAAATTATAAAAAAGATCGTATTCCCACGGGACATTCAGACAGGGATATATTTTAGGTCAGCTTTTGTTGCAACGATCAAAAGATTCAGGAAATAGAGTTTCGCCTCCCCATCTGCGGGGAGACCCCTTGGCTTTCCATCTGCATGTGGGACACCGAATGACCCCAAAATCAGTTCATTCAGTCCAGCTGACCTGGCCTGTATCTTACAATATACGCGTCGCACCGCGTCCAATCCATACTCCATAGCAACCAATGATCGGACGGGCAGGCCGGGCGGCTTTAGTTAGCGCCGCCGCCGCCGGCGGCCGGTGGCGCTGGCGTCGCTACTCACTGGGACGGTCGTCGTCGCCGTCGCGGTGGTTGTGGTGCCGATGGTGACGGCGTCGCGAGCGGTGCGGCCGATGGTGACCGCTCGGCGCCGTCGGGTTCACACTCACATATAGAGAGTGCGCCCGGTGACCTGGCGGCAGACGGGGGTCGGGGTCAGGTCAGTTGAGGTCAGTGGAGGTCAGTCGAGGGTCAGACGGGGCACAGTGGGACGCCGTGGGTCCCAATGGAGGCCTCAACGCCATCTGGTGGCCTGACTGCCGCCAGCCGGCCCGATGCAAAACATTTCGACATCCGGCTGCGATAGAAACACAACACGCAACACGGCGCCGGCAGCCCTATATTGGCTGGTGGATCCGAGCCGTGTATGTACGGGTGTCACTCAGAAATAGTGGCCTGTGCGATAATCGGTTTAAGCGGTTTACCGGGGGTCTCACTAGTACTGACGCCCACTACCTAATCTGCCATCAAAACAAACGTATAAAGCGTCAGAATACGAGATGAAAGGGTAATATTGCAAACATGTTACACAGTCTGAAATCTTAACTGCGTGAAAGACAGGTAAGGTTCTCCCCTGAATTAGTACACCCGTATATCGGTGCAACCCTTCGTAAAAACTGTAAACTACACCTGAAATCTTACGCCCCCGCCCGCCCCCGTTCTAGATCAGTCGGGAGCTCGGGAGTAGGCAGACTGGCCTCTCCTCACCTCTGGGGGGGGGGGGGCCTCACGTCACCACCGAGCGGTGACGAGTGACGGCTCGGCTGGGAGACGGCCAGACGGCCAGACGTGCCGCGGCGTCACGGCAAACGTCACGGCAGGGGCGGGGCGTCCGACGCCCGACGCGGCAGAAGGCACACAGTTTATCTTGCGCAATTCATCGTTTTCCTTTCTCATACAGGGAGAAAGGCATCCCTTGCTTCCATTTCTCACCCCTTGCCCTTCTAGCTCACCCGCCGACTTTTCCGCCCCAATACGTCCACGCCCGTGTAGAGCGACACGCACCTGGGAGCGTCACTCATCACACCGTCACAACGTCACCAATGGCGCCGTGACGGCCGCCTGGGTCCGCCGTGACGGTGCGCCGGTCAGTGTCCACCCTTTCTGAGTCACCTCATCACAAATACTCGGTATGTCTGCAGCTGCGCAACGTCGGCGAGAACCGATAAACTTCCAGCACGGCTCGTCACGGTGACGTAACCGGTCGACGGGACCGCTGAGGCCGGTCGCTAGACGCCGGTTACCAGGCCGCCAGACGACGGCGACACTTCTGCCCGGGGATGTAGCCTGGAGGATGGATGGCTGTTATGCCCTTGAAGCCTTTCATCCACAATCACAGGCATGTTCCAAAGCCTCTGTTGTTCAAATAAGCAGGATTGAGGCGATTTCGGCGTCCGGGAGGAGCTTGGCAGCCTGCACCGTGCAATGGCCCGCAATCCCCCGTTATTCGGCCACAGATCCCAGCTATGGACCGGCCGCGGTCCGAGCCGATCAGAAGTCATCGACTGATGACTCCGGGGGAAGGAGCGGACGCCCACGGCTATTGACGACATCAGTAGGGTCCCGAGGGCCGTCATATGAGACGAGACTCAATCGGAGGATAAGTCGCCATGGATCGGATATTGTGTAACCCGCACAAGGGTGGATCGATGGGCTGGGCCGACATGCCATCCTTTTAAAGAAAAGCACGCCATCACTTCCTCCTTTCCATCGGCCACGCCGGTAATCCCAAAGGAGCCCACTCAACGCTCTTGCAAAACGCCCGGCGCTGGACCATGTTGACCTGCCGACCAGCATTACAGTGAATGTCGCGGCGGAGCTGCTGACACGGGCTACCGCTACCCTCACCCCTCCCTGTCCCCCTGCACTAAAACTTCCACCGGGCAGGCTCGCTTCCGGTTTGGGTCAGCGGGATCGGTCCGGGCGGTGGATGACTCCGCCGGATGGAGGATCAGGGAGCGAACCCATCACGCACCCATCGGTTACTTGTCTCAGGTGACTGGGCAGGAACACACTCATTAGAAGGCATCGTCTGGTGAGAATTATGAGCGTCCCCCCATGGGCGGTCAGGGGGAAGTGTTGACGTGTAGTATGCCTGCACGGCCGGTGCTCGCGTCCTGAAGCCGTGCAGTCCCTGGTGAGATGTTAGTCACGAGCCCGCCAAGTCGAAAGGGCACGTAAAACGGAGAAGGTGCTCTAACGGTGAGGGGCTTCCTTCGAGATGGAAGTCACATGAGAGATGTGTTAGATGTACTCAACTCCCCCGAAATAACCATACAGCAGCACATTGAGAATGAGATGGAAGCGCAATGTTTAATATTTTTATTTTAGTTTATAACCCTTTATACCGACATCTTCCAACGAACCATTAAGTTATCTGATTATGACCTAAGCACATTTATTCACGCCTTTACGAGCCATTCCTTTCGGTGATTTTAACACCCGTATCTCTCGGCTGTGCCAGTTACACCTGGGCCCTCCTGCAGCTTATGACCGTTACATACAACAGACATGAACCTGGATACAAGACCAAAACCGGATCCACCGACAAGGTCAAGCCACGCTGGTTATCACGTTAGATTAAATCATATTCTGGGCTGAGAGGTGGCACGTAGGTACAATATTCATGTTGCTACGGGAAACGAACGTTACTCTTCTCTAGCTTGAATTTAAATAGTAATAAAGTAAGATGGGTTGCTGTTAACCTATTTTCTATGGAACCTTACATACATAACTAGCTCATATCAGCAAGGGCTAACACTCGCATTTACGAGTCAACTTCAATCAACATTACCGTCACTAAAAATGCTAACTTCGAATAACTTTAGGCCAACTTCTCACATTATGGTCGGCCCTCTCAGTGACCTTTCCAAATCCCTCAAAACTGCCAGGATGCCAAAACGGTCACCGCAATTCACCATGCCTTTCAAGCACCTATTTTTGTTTCATTCCACTGAGAACCAGTCTGACCTTGCTGTTTTTCCTCAGCGAGACACCCCAACCACCTGTCACTCCTCTCTATCAGCTCTCTCCCCGCTCGGTCTGTACTCTGTCCACGGTCCAAGGGCCGACGGTCAGTGCCAGTGGCCGGGCCGGTTAGCCCATCAAACACACCGGCCGCTGCAGTGGCACCGGTGTCCCTGACCAGCCAGCTGGCAGTTCACAGTGACCCACTGACCGATACAGCGGAACCACCGGACGGGGCGGCACGGAACGACCCCGGCCCGGCACCTTTACCGATCGGCCACGGGGCCAATATCGAAACCAACAGCCCGACCCAAACCCCGGCACCCTAACCGATCATTCCCAGATACCCGGGCCGAGGCTAAACCTACAGACAATCCCAGTACCTTCACCGATATCAGTCCCGAGCAGCCCAGGCCGGAGCTAAACCTACAGGCCGACTTCGACACCGACACAGGTCCGTCCAGTGCGCTGGACAGGCAGGGAAGCCTTCGCAGGCCACCGGGAAGTGTCCACTGGCTGTTCAGGAAATCTTTTTTTCTTTTTTTGTGCTTCTAGTACGTTGTCATATGAGATGGGTGTCTACATTCCTTTGTCCATGACCGGGTGTGCAGAATCGGAGCCCGGTTACCGCTCCAACCAGTTGCATCACGGGCCGCCGGCAGCCAAACACGCAGTGGCCACGTGCAGGGAGAGGTTTCCCCGCCCCGCGGCCCACCGGACAGCCGGCGACCGGTCAGCTTGGCACAGCGACAGCTGCATGGGTCACCGGTGGTAGGTGGAACTGACCCGGGAGGCCACGGATAGGGTGGGAGGGGAGACTGCTGACGGGAAAACAAACTCACCCACTTGCAATAGTAATATGAGACCTGCATGGACAGCTGAGACCCGGCACAGTTGGAAACTGCAGGCGGGTGCACTGTGCAGTCACAAAACTCCTCCTCCTCCGGGAGGAGAGGGAGTTTTGTGACTGCACACTGCACACGCCTCTCCCCTACCTCGCTTCGCAATTCAACAGTAAAGGGCGCTGCCCTCAATTTCAAATGAATCAACAGCTTCACTAGGCTCGCCCAGCCCTCCGGACACAAATTGTCCCCCAAACCACCCATACCACGTGATTTTCAGCTGTGCTGCCATGAACCCCTCCCCCCGTCCACCGCCCTCCTCCCCCCTCCCCGTTCACCTCACCCCTGCACTCCGGCGCCCCGTCTCCGGCGGCGGTTCACGGCACCCGTTCTTTCTCCGGGCCCGGTCCGGCGCGGCGCCTGGCACCAGCCGAGCACGTGGTCGCCAGTTCACCCCTCCACACCTGCCGGGCCGGCCTAGCAAGGTCAGCGAACTGCCGGCCGATCGACGTCCACAGAGACAACGATGGAGCATGACCACTTCCGGGCGCAGCTCTGACCGCCGGTGCTGTCACGGACAAGTCACCAGCCGTCTAGACAGGACCGAGTGCTGTCCGCGATCCGAGGCAGGTTCACAACCCGCGACGCGAAAGGAGAAGCGTTACCGCCCGTCCGTTCGGCGTTCGCTAGGCCCGGTTCTTGGGATAATTTAGTGCAGTGCACCGTCATCACCTCGCGGGCTTTCCAGGAACTCAGATTGGCCCGCGGCGCCGGCTACCACGCAGAGACGTGGTGCACAGGGAGACAAGGCCGGCACTGCCAGTCACTAAGGTGACCTGAGCGAAAACGTAAGTGGTAGGAGTCACTACACCTGACGATACGGCCAATGGGACGGAGCCATGAGCGAGGTGGCCGCATCCATGGGAGAAGACGATCCATGGCTGAATATCGCCACAGTACGAGGACGCACTTTGCGTTCCGGCCGGACGGCGCGTGCGGCGTGTCCGCGATGATTGTAGTTGGACAGAACGCGATGGATTAGCACTATCTGCGTGTGTGCGGGAGGCGGCGGCTCTTTATGGTGGCTCTGTAGGAGAGGCCGACTTCCGCCGACCACCAGCGGGTGCAATAAAGAACGGGACATCGGCACCGGTGTGACCTTCTCACGCGGCCGGGCGGCGCGGCGGTCAGAGGGGACGCTGACGCCCGCCGGCGGCCGCATCACCACGGAGCGGAAACTGCCGGCAGCCACCTCTGCACTGCCGACGCCACGCCGCAGGAAACCTTCTCTCCCTTCTCTCCTGTCTCTCTCCTCCGGCTGCCCCCGACACCGAGTCACTCTCTCCCGAAAACGGCGCAGCGGAAAAACCGCCGTCCGCCCGTCCTCGTCAGACCGGCGGCGGCAGGCGCACAAGGTCGCTGTCCAGACACCGCATTGCAGCGCACAACAAATGCCGACGAACTGTGGTCTGATGACGTCATTTTTATTGTGACGTCACAGTTCACTGGCCGGAGCCTCCACTGTGACGGCCGGAAAGAATAGCCGAGCAATTCAATCAAGTTCCAATCGGAAATATTGGGGAAAAGGGAGGTAGGCCCATAAATTCAGAGACAGCTTGATTCACGAGAAAATCTTGGAAATGACACGAAGGGATTTCTGATGGTTCTCGAGGCGATGCCGGGAAACTGGTTTGAACCGGTCCACTTGCAATCATGGACAATGACTCAACAGAAGATTCTTGGTAATCTACTATAACGCTGCGAATTGTACAAGCCGTTCACCCAATCATGACGGTTTCAGGAAGGTATTAGAACGTTAACGACCGCTTGTACACTTGACAACACTAAAAAAGCGTATCTGCAAGACGCCTGTCTCGGCGCCAGTATTACATAAATTTTGTCTAGCACAGGTTGAAACGCTTTCCGTTTATCAAGCAAGAACCAACCCCGCTCTTACGTAATTACTAATTTGGTTGTGCGGGTCGGCTCGGTGTCATCGGGCAATTTTGAAAAGATCACCACGATAGCAAATCAAATATGTAGAACCTGTCATGCCTTTCCCAGCGGGAACAGAGCGCACGCCCCTGTAGATTGGACAGTTTCGCTCACCTTCAAAGTCCTTGTCTGTGTAGCTGTGATGGGCGCGGCCGGCGCCCGGATCGCGGGGCGGTTCATCGGTGTTTTCCGTCACGTTGTCCATCGCCCACGGCCTGCCGGAAGAACGCGAGCGTGTCAAAGGCGCGGTCAGCGGCACAGGATGTCATCATCAGCTCAGCAATGAAGCTCAGGGCATCCACAATGGAGCTAGAGACATCAGAGGATTGAAGGGTTAGGATGGAGGACGAGGTGAAGGGTCGGACAGTGATCCCGCGCAGGTCACGTGCATACTGCGTAGGGACTGTTGGCTTCAAGACCGTGAAACAGCTGGTTACAGGTGCATTCGTGCCTTCCAGGCGACCCGACACGGGGCGGGGTAATGTTATTGAGCGGGCTCTCTCGGTTCTGCCAAAGTCCACATCCACTGCCTCCTGCCAACAGCGACCGTCTGGCCTGGCGCCTGCCCTCGGCGGCTTCAGTCGCACCCCGCCAATAGACAGCAGACATGCATTCTTACCAGGTGCTGAGGAACGGACAAAGCTGCCGCCAACGGGTCGCACAGGGGCAGCTTTCCACTGGGGTCTCACGCCAACATCAGCTCCACCATCGACAGCATCCCTGATCAAAATTAGATAATGGACGCACTTGAGCAATGGCTTCTCGCGGAACTTCTAGTTGCAAGCAGTGCGGGTCTCACAGTCACAGCTGTGACCGATCGCTCACCACTCCACACGCCTGCCCTCCCTGCGCCGAGTCACCGCGCACATCACTGGCTCCTCTCAGTTCACATCTCTCCTCAACGGAGGCACCGTCACAATACGAGCATGGCCTCCTGCAGATCAGCCGGGAGACTGGACAGCGCCGCCAGTCCCCTGACCGACGACCGTGATAGTGCGCGCCGGTCGGAAACACTACACCGATAGTGTCCGTAGTGCCGGTAGTGACGCGTCCCGGGGTTCCTCACGCGGTACACAGCTGGTAGTGAGCCCCGGCACAGCGGTGGACCCAGTGGTCGGTGTCGGCCCCGCACTGAGACCCGGTGGGCCGCGCTGGGAGCGAGAGGAGCGACCGAAATCCGATCGTCGACATCTGAGAGGCGGGCGCCACTGCCCGTCCCACGGCGGGAGGGGAGGGTGCAGCACATGGGCTGCGGGTGCAGAGAGATGAGTGGGAGCGCGCCGAGGTGCCCGCTGAGCGGTCGAAGGATATTCGCGGACGGCAGGGATACCGGATACGGTCATCACTCGATAGTCTATGGGTGGCAATCGCTGGTGCCAGCGCGACACCCCGTGACTGTTGAAGCCACAGCGACAGGAGCCGGGTGTCGCGGTCCCACACTACCGCCACAGGTCGGTGCCGCGCAGGGAGTGTCACGTGACGGTCGTCACACGGGGGTGACGGGGCCGATGCGTCAGAGAGAGGTGTCAGACACGTGTGGCTAAGAGGCTCAGACGGTAGTCGAGCCCAGCTCCAGGAGAGCTCATGCCACGAGCCCGAGTAGTGACGGCTTAGAGATCAACGAGCGTGAACGCGGCTTAGCAGTGAGGCTCTCACTCCTGTGAGATTCCTTCAAGGTCGATGTTTTTATGCATGGAACGGAAAGTTAAAAACTAGCTGGACAGGATCCTCAGCTATATACAGCTAGGTCAGCTTCTACAAAAACATGCCGTCTCGGGACTCAATTATGGATAGTGGAACTAAAAAACAAACTTGGCGATAAGATAAAACAAATAGTACATTTTAAAATATTTCGTGTAATTGGCCATAAGCTATACCAAGGTCATAGCTGATATCAATGCCAAAAGGCGCGAACATCAGCCGCTATTCGTCGGCACTTGTTTTCGCAAGCACCAGACGGGACGAAAAACCACGCAAACGGATCCCCAAGTTCCGCCAGGCACCACCACACCCCACCACTGGGTGTTGGCTGTTGCTGTGTCAGTCATCACAGCGCCCTTAGATCGGCCGTATTTGTTTGGATCCCGCTACAGACGGTGGCCGCGGCGGCGGCGGGTATACCCCTCCTCAGCTCGTGCCCTGCCACCCGTCTGGACACCGGGGATTGGGGGGATGGGTGGAGGCCAGCCATGAGAGACGTCACGAGCTTTCAAAGGTCAGCAACCTGGCAAAGCGCCCGCAGCCGATAGAATGCAGGTAAACACTCTACCTACGTCAATTGGCTCTAAAACCCGGCGGACAGAACGTAGAAGTAGAGTGCAGTGCAAATCGTACGCACGACATTCATCCACAATCCGGATGTTCATTTGCCAGCGGTGGTAAGAAGTTGTCAAAGTTTTAATCAAGACAATTGCACGAGGAATATCCAACAGATTTTCCAGGCGCAAACACTTGAGAGCAGCTACCAACGAGGATATGCCTTATGTTCAAAGAGAACCAAGACTGTCGGCTGTATGCATAGTTAACGTTTCTAGGCATTGAAAGGAACTTCTCTACTCAGCTTCGTTTGAAGGAAGTACTAGCGAGCTGCTTCAGCATGTTTTCTTAGCCAGGGGCAATGGCCAACCTAAAAACTTCGATCAAACGAAGCCCCAATGGGCTCGTCCGGAAGAGGTATAACGTTCTACTTATCTGTTCACAGATCCGAGTCTGCCGACTCACTGAACTCGCTGGACTCACTGGACTCACTGGACTCACTGGAGTCAGCGGACTCACCCCTGTCCCTGTCTGCCGTCGGGGATGGTGTGTGCGCACAAGGCGGCGCCGGCGGCCCGGCGCGGCTGCGGCTGGCTCACTGGTACAGCACGTGGCGGCCTCCGGGGCACGGGACGGCATGGCAGCCGGCAGTCTCTCGGCTGGGGAGGGCACAGCAGGAGCGTGCCACCCGGCTATCTCACCCGCATCTGCCACCGATCCGACGCGCGCCGCCCCGACTCACACCCAGATAAAAACTGCACCCCACTGTGAGGCCGTGTGGCACCGATCGAAACTCTGCGCGATTCCCACGCCCGTATCTATTGCGGCTGAGTCCCAAGCTGAGATTTTCGCTGCGAATCACTTACGTGGCGGCCCTAAAAGTGGAAAATGCGTTTCAAATGAGCTGAAATGACTGGAGCATCTCGTGACTCTTTAACGTGTGGCACTATAGTCTGGAAACTCGGCTATAATTTTGAGATTTGGATCTGAATCTGGAATTCCACTGCCCATCAGTCACTACTGAAAACAAAGCAAATATAAATTTTAACTGAATTGGTACAATGAGTCCTCATAAACAATGGGAGTTGGGAGGCCTTGAGACATTTTTCATCAAGGATAGTGGCGTTTTGCAACGACCTAATCAGCATTAGACGGACCATTATGACGCATATTGTGTAAGTGACACTGGCTCATCTCCGGTAGTTTCTTTCAAGACATGGGTATAAATCGGGAGTCCCGAATGTCTCCATTCCTTGACCTCCCGGGTCTGGCATCACGCGCATGGCAACGGAGCGCGGGCCGCGCGGAAGGAGAGGAGCATGACGTGATCACGCGCAGGAGGGTGCAAAGGTCCTGAGTGTTTGAGCTGACGTGAGTGTTGAGTGTCCCTGTCTAATAACTCTCTGTTCTGTGTGCATGTTTATTAGTGAGGGAGGATTCAAGGAAGGATTCGATGCGATAATATGAACGAAGGACGTTTGGTAATCACCAAATGCAAAGCAGAACAGGGATACCTTGCGCTAATGTGCTAGGTAAACCGTTGCACGGTTATTGGTTAGCATCATTGTGAATAATACTAAATACAAATTAGATATACGTTGACCGCCTTTACGCCAGAAATCTGGTAATTGACATCCGTAGTCGGCACAGTCGGCAAAGTCCTTTGGTATGCCAAAACCACCAAAATGTCCGGCGATGACATTAGATTGACATGCATTAGTACAAATCTGAGCTTTGCACGCGACCAACGAAAGGAGCGCATTAGTCGATAGAGACAGAGATAGCACACACATGCTAAAATACAGGTCGGGAACGAATCTGAGCGGAAGCCTCTTGTTAAACGGAAAAAAACGAAAAAAAAACGCGTGGGGATGAAACTGGAAGAAGAACCGACGTTTTTGCGCAATGCAAACGGTATTTGTAATCAAATTTGTTTATGATCGATTACAGCTGCGAGTCCAACTAGCAGAGTCTATATCAGTGTATTTGTGTACCTGAAGATCGGAGAATATATTACGCTGTAATTAACCGTGTAATATATGATGTGTTCAATCAGTGCAAATTATGATAAATAAGAGAATTAAGTATGTTCCCCGGCCCCAAGAAATGTGACTGGACCGAATCGATCAGCTCTTTGTAGAGTATCCCCAATCCCTTATCATCCGATTTTTTTCACCTCTTCTCTGTCAACACCTATCAATAAAGCGCCGCGGTAGCCGCGTCTAACACCTCTTTACACCTCGCCTCCCTGTGCCACCCCGGGCGGCCGAGTCCCTCGCCGTGACCCGGCATCGCCGGTATTTCGGGCTCCAGAGAGTCGACGAGCGGGCGGCCTCTGTCGAAGACGACGCGCCACCTCGGCCGGGCTTCGGTAAACAGGCGCGCAGTGGCGTCCCGGCCACCGCAGCTCCGCAGAGGCGGGGAATCGATAGGAGCGGGGACAGAGAGAACTGGATGGAAGCGGTGAGGAGGACGCAGCCGGCTCCTTATATGTAGATACACAGGAAGGTGCAGCGGTTGAATGTCACATCGTGTTAGTGTAAACTGTGCACAGGCTTTTAGAGACAAAAACAACGAAAACTGAAAAGGAGGAGGAATGATTTTTTTTTTTAAGTGGGCACCCACTGCTTCCTTATAATAGTGTTGTAGCATGACTTCCAACTTTGTCGTTTTTTGTTACCATACAGAAGTTTTTACAATGCTCATTGTGAAAGGGAATACTGTGCAGTCTGCCGCCAAGAAAGAAGAGGCAAAAATGGAACTGAAAAAGCGATCTGCCGGAGCCTGAGTAAGGTGATACGCACCGTATCACATGTTTCACTAATCCATAATTAGCGCCATTTGCCGAAACACGTGCGGCGAGTGTCACATATCCGTGTTCATTTCAGTACCTGTTTCATCTCCAGAATAACTGCACTAATTACCTGCACAGTGTGCACGGAACACTTTTGTTACCCGA